TAACGTTAAACGTTTTAAAACGTTAACGTACCGTAACCGTAACGGTACGGGTACGGTACGTACCGACGTCGGTACCGTACGTACGTACTCGTACGTCGTCGCCGTACTACGAGAGAGAGAGAGAGAGAGAGAGAGAGAGTTTTACAAAGATCTTAATTTCAAATCATCCCTCATTTGAGAAATTGATTTTTCTAAAAAAAAGTTCATTTTGCTTAGTAAAATTATGTTTTTTATTAATATAAGAAGTTTTTTTCTATATTACTTAATAAAATTATCTTTCACACAAATTTATGTTTTTAATAAAACATTATGTTTTTTTATGAATATGGGATCTGTTTTTCTATTTTTTCTCAACAAAATTATTTTTTGATAAAATTATGGTTTTTTAATAAAATTATGTTTTATGATGAATGTAAGAAATGATTTTCCATTTTGCTTAGTAAAGTTATTTTTTGATAAAATTATGGTTCTTTAATAAAATTATATTTTATGATAAATATGAGAAGTGTTTTTCTATTTTGCTTAATAAAATTATTTTTTGATCTTATTTTTTGATAAAATCAATGCACAACACACTGATATGGATATGGTAGATACATATAAAAACATTAAAACATATTAGTGTGCTGTGTATTGATTTTTCGTTTTGTTGAACATCATGAGATGTATTTTTGTGAAGTATGACGAAAGAAAAAGTTTATATAAGGTTGCAACCTTACCTCTATAGCTACGAATGCACCTCAAAAATCCATCGGAAAAGGTAGTTTTAATGTTGAAAAGCCCTTTGATGGGCATCTCGACATCAAGATGTATGACCATGAAAAATAAAAAGATTTTAAGTCTAAAAAATAGTGTATTTTGCAACATATTATCTACACCGTCCATTTTCAAGATTTTCATATGTTTATAGATCTAATTAATTTTAACCATTTTTGAAATTTAAAATTTTATAATTAGATATAAAAATAGATTTTGAGATAATAATTTTACATCAAAATTATATATCATGATAAAATTTGAAGGTGCACCTTACTTACCACTACAGCTTCGGATGCATCTGTATGCCAACTGCACCGTTATATGAATTATGCTTTATCTAACTATATGGAAGAGGTCCTTTTTGTCTTAATTAGTTGGCATTTTTATTTGATTTAATCGCATCAAGCTACTTTTGTTATTTGCAAAAAAAGTGCGTAAACGTTCATTCCTAATGTGAGAGATTTTTGTAAAAAAAAAAAACTTGAAAGTTTTTCATGTAAGGTTTGGGATAAATATGTTAATTCTTGGAAGAAGATGTTACATGACAAAAATATCTTCAAAAAATATCTTAAGCTATTTTCATGTACAGGGCCATAGTATTCGAATATTACTTTATAAAAAGTTGTTCCTTATTTTTTTTGTAAGATAAATATATGTAATAAGATACTATACACATAGTCTAAGTATTTTTATTTTATTTGTAATTTTTTTGGGAGTTTTTAACCCATTTTTTAAAAAAAATTCTACTAGACTGGTTAGTCTGGTTAACTGCCCCCGGTTAGTCCTGTTCAAACTGCTTCCAGCCCCATGTTTGGTTAAACCGTTCTGATTTGATTTTATAAAGACTGGACCATAGTCACCATACTATAGTTAAAAAAAAAATCGTGTCTTTTTTTTTTGGTACGATGTTTAAGTATTTAACTAATAAATTTATATAGTATATTTGTCACCATATCATAGTTAAAGCATTTGTTTATGATTTTATGATTTTATGATTTTATGATTTTATGATGAGCCAATTTATTGATAGTCCTGACTTGCTAACTATGTTCAAAATCACCCATCGTTTGAAAATAGGCCCGTCTCTATTAGACAGTAAGAATTTATTATTTCAGGCAGGTACGTAGATTGCACACTTTTTTTTTCTTTTGTTATTTATAGAAAGTTGGCTACTGAGTCAGAAAAATTAAATTCCCGTAATTTGAGACCCCAATAATACTTCCAACAGAGTTTTGTTTTTGGAAACTTGTAAATATGCTATTGCATAGTTTCCTGTATTTAAAGAAGGAAAAAAATTTATAAGTGTGAGGCTCTAACAATCAAATTAGGGTACTCCGCATAAATTTCATTAAAAGAGGTTGTTTTGATGCCCAAATATCCTCAAATTGATCATCTCAACCTCACATGGACATAAGAAAAAAATGCATTTTATAGGTAGAGATGAAAATATATTTTAAAGCTATCACAAAGATTTCAAATATTGAAATCACATTTCTCGATACTATTTAAAGGTACGACTTACTTTGATTGTTTAGGGCCTCGGTCTTATACAAAACCATACCCTCCTCTTTGTGCTCACTTTTTATTAGTTGCTCAAGGAACCCTTTAACTTGGAAGCCAAAAAAATCGAAGTATTGGTTTCCTAAGACTTAAAAGTTGAAATGTTTGGTTTTTTTTTGGGTAATTCAATCGAGAAGATTTATTTTGGGTAATTCAATAAGGAAGACATGTTTCTACCTGTTTTTTCAAATAGTTTGGGAGTTAATTGGTTGAAAGTGTTAGTGGAGTGATGTCGGCGCTGAATGAAAACCTTTCAAATAGTTTGGGAGTTAATTTGTTGAAAGTGTTAGTGGAATGATGTCAGCGTGAATGAAAACCACAGCATGGTGTCTAAAGTACGGGGCTACTATGCGACCCCAGCCCCTTCCTCGAACATGTTGTATATAGCATATGGCATTTGTCTGATACATCAAACATTTCATAAAAGCATGTCATAAAAATATCTTACAAAAATGTATTTAGGTAAGTCACCTGACTCATGCCTTCGCATGGGTTTTTAGGAACTCCAAACACATCCTAAACCAATTTTAACCACCTTCGCCTCAGATAAGACAATTGTGAGTTCTAAAAGCAATATTCTTGAATGGTCCATGGAAAAAGGCCCAAAATTTATTTATTTATTTTTTAGACGATAAACTTGCAAAATCAATAGTATGGTTCACCATTTTCATGGATTTAAGAGTAAATTATAAATCTCAAAGCCGAGGATTTTAAAACTTTATTGTATTGTTTGTGGATCATTTATTTTAATTCTTTTAAAATTATATGGTTTTAAACTTTAAATTCTATTTATTATTTTCATGCTTATTACGGTGGCGGTAAAGTACAGATTACCAACCTTTGAAATTTAAGTCCAAAATCCATCTCTAAGACGAATTTTGAAGGGATCACAATTGGATATCAACTCATGGAAACTTCTTCCAAAAACTTTTGTAGACCAATGGCTAAACATTCTAGTCCGATCAAACATTACACATTTTATGTTGATGATCTCTCTCGAAGACCCAAAGCTCTGCTACGGCTTCTTGGTACTCAAAATCTGGGATACTGCATCCCACTCTCATTAACTAAGTAATCAAGCAAGGTAGCCATCCCAAATTCCTTGAAGCTATATGATCCTGACACTTAGTCATGGTTTTCATCTGAATATATATATATATATATATATATATATGGTGAGTCTTCTAGCTCATGGAATAATATAACCCAACGGTCTATATTGAATTTGGACCGATCTGACGGTCAGAACGATATATCGGAAATATAATTTTTAATTTTTTATAAATCCAAATAGCATGAAAGTTTTAGCATAAATTTATACGAATTATTTTTTTGATATTTTTATTAGATTTTACTATTAAAAGATAATAGACGCTCCAAATTTCAAGTAATTTGGGTTTGTAAAAAAAAATTTAAATTCACGTACGAAATATAATTCTGATCATTAGATCGATCCAGATTCAATCTAGGCCGTTGGCCTTACACTGTTCCATGAGCCCATGTACTGACATGAGCTTTTTCCATATATATACAAATTGACAACATATTTATTCGTCTTGTGGTATATGGTGAAACCTTTTTCACTAGGAAAAAGTTTATATAAAGATGCTACCTTATAGTGTAGAACTACAAATACCCCTCGAAAATCCATCGGAAAAGGTAGTTTTAATGTTGAATAGCCTTTTGATTGATCATCTTGACATCGAGATATATGACTATGAAAAATAAAACATTTTAAGTCTCATAAATAGTGCATTTTACAACATATTATCTACACAATTCATTTTCAAAATTTTCATATGTTTATAGATCTACTTGATTTTAACCATTTTTGAAATTTAAAATTTTATAATTAGGTATACAAATAGATTTTGAGATAATCCTAAGAACATTTTACATCAAAATTATATACCATAATAAAATTTGAAGGTGCACCTTACCTCTACACCTACGGATGCATCCGTAGGCCAACTGCACCATTTTCGCTAAGTTTTTGTTTATATTTTTACAGAAATGTAAAGCTGAGCCCTGGGTTGGTCTTGGGGTTGTGACCCATGATTTCTTAATGAGGTAGTATAAGCATGTCACATGAGAATTACATAACTGTTCATCAGATAATAAATACACTTTCCATAAAACAAATTGGCTTCTTGCACTTTCAGAAATCAGTAATACAAGGGGAGGTTCCTTTTGAAATGTCATTCACTATATAATGCGTTATTCATATGCTCCCCGGGGAGCACGGCATACACGTTCTTATTCCAAAAGGCTCGTCAGGCAGGCAGATGGAAATTGAAGGGATAAATCAAGCGAAACTCTCCAACTTTGGGGCTTTGATGGGACCTATAGACGTGGGGCTCATCAAACTAATCGAAGATTTCATAGGACCCATCCCTATTCGTTCATGATATTTGACTGTATCATCTCACTAGCTTGCTATCGTTGGGAGAGAATCATGTACAAGCCCTGCAATGAGAAAGCAAAACAACCAATAAGCAAACAACTCTTGTAAAAGCCTCTACCTACCACATTTAAAAGACTAACTTAGGAGTATTTAAAAAAACATTTGTTTTTTGTATGTTCCTAAACACTAAGATCTGACCATTGCTCTGTTCAATCTTAGAACATTAATATTTTTAGACATAGAGATAGTTTTTATTTATTTATATATTACTATAATTATTATTTTAAAAGGTTAGTAGCTAGGTTGAGAAGGTTACAATTCCAAAATTTGAGGTCCTAAAGTACTCCCAAGTAGGGTTTACCTAAGGGAGTGAATTTATGATATGCTCCAACCCTACCTTGGTTGTATGAATGGTTGCTCCAGTTGTCATTCCTATGTCTTGATTAGGGACCAGCTCGAAAGTGAGATTCTGAAGTAAAACAGTCAGTGTCACAATTGCCTCCAGCATTGCGAACTGATCGCCCACACACTTGCGTGGTCCTCCACTAAAGGGGATGAACCTACAGCAACAATGCATGAGAGAGAGAGAGAGAGAGCAATTGCTATGAATAAGACATACAGGGTCAAGGTTGGAGAGAGAGAGAGAGAGAGAGAGAAATTGCTATGAATAAAGATATACAGGGTCAAGGTTTTAGAGGAGAAAGCAGGCACAATAATTCTATTTTCCTTCTCATATAATTACAACAAAAACAACAAATTATGCCTTAAAATGTTTCCACTCTTGTAATTCAATTGCTCGCAACTGTGCACGTGTGCACAAGTGCGCTTTATAGAGTAAGCCCATGAAACGTTCCTTTATTGCATGCATGTGCAGTAGGAAAGATTACATGTGCAATGACAAAACAAAAGTCACATATTACCTGAAATCGGTATTTGACTCATTGGGCAAAGGTGCGTCTAGATTGAATCGCTCTGGAAAGAATTCCTCTGCTATATCCCAAACCTTTTAATGGCACCATCCAAAAAAACAAGTTACCACTCTCTCTACAGCTGATACAATTGCAAATAGATAAAACTAGCTCAGTTTCTTTGTGCAAATTAGTCAAGTTCTCATCATGCAAAAAAATATTCATGCCCCCAAAAGGAGCTTCATGGTACAGTAACTTCGTCTGCATTATAAGCTTATCCTGTAGAAGTACCCAGAGGAAAAGCATTGCAATGGAGAGAACTGTGGTTTTCAATAAAAATTCAAACCCAGTTATGCTCCTCCAGAAACAAAGTGTTGTATATGCCAAATTTTCTTTTGTACATATTTCTCTGATAGTGATTTGGTAGTGAAGGGTATGAAGAAAAAACCCAACAATCATTAATCATTACGTTTATTTCTTTTTCCATTTCTTGGAATTAAGGTGTAGCATTGCCATAAGCAAGTTAATATAAAGTACCATGTGACTATTTCTGTCACATACAGAAATATTATTGCAATGAAAATCACTGTCAACTCATGGGGAATATCAATCTGACCATATTGATCATGTCGAGGTTCATTCTGGACAAAAAGTTCCATCTAATCTTTTGAGATAAAGTCTGCCAACCGAAGGATCTGGGGGGGCTTGGGATTCAAATCCTGCGAAAACAGAACTCTGCACTTCTCGGAAAATGGTGTTGGCGACTAGAAAATCACAACAACCTGCTTTGGACCCAAGTAATTCGCAGTAAATACAGAATCCACCCTGCTCTTTGGCTCCTGGAAGGGTCTGCTCCTTCTAGGACATTTGAGGCATGAAAATCTATGATGTCCACTATCTCCCTTTTCAAACAAAACATTCGCTTCCACCCAAGGAGAGGAAACAGAACACATTTTTGGTCAGATTTATGGGTGGGCCACACTCCACTGAGGGATACCATCCCAGCCCTCTTTTCCTTGGCCAAACTCATCCATTGAGGAAGAGATCTCATTTCGGGCAGCTGCAGGGTATGGAACCCTTCTTTCAGAAGGGCCCTTTCTGATAGTGAGGCCTCAAAGTCTCTATCTCTCTCTCTCTCCCCTCTTTGCTACACTCAACTTTTTTGGCTTTCTCTGGATCGAATAGGATTGTGGGGACCCCATCACCCTCTGGTGCCTTCTAAATTGCTTCTTTCTACAAAAAACTGATGCAACCACCACCTTCCCTCATGCTCCTACTTCAATGGTAAACAAGGTGTGATCCACTATAGCCCCACCTAAAGTACAGGCATTCAACTGGATAGTGTGCTCCGAGAAGGCACTCACTGTCGGTCAATTAAAACGCAGGGGCATTCCCATTCCGAACAGGTGCGTCAAGTGCCTTTGTGAAGAAGAGAGCAATCCGCACCTCTTTATGCATTGCAGCCTAGCCTCCAACCTTTGGAGTCGAATCCTTCTCCTCTTCGGCCTATCCTAGGTCACACCGGAGTCCCTCCTTTCGATTTCATTGGACTCACACTGGCCAAAGGCAGACAGGCTACTTTGGAAAGCTTCCATCGCAGCTACCATTTGGGTCATTTGGATAGAAAGAAATTCAAGGATTTTCAGAGGAGCCTGGTGTGAAGCCTCGACCCTCTTCCACAAGAATACAGCTCAGGTCATTTTTTCTGGGATTCAAATCATAAGGCTTTCAAAAGCATCTCGGCTGCGACCTTCCTACAAAACTGGGAAAATATCCTCCACCTCCAACCACCTCAGGTTGTTCATGCCAAAAACTGGTCTCCACCCCCGATTGGCCTTACAAAACTTAATTTTGATGGGTGCTCGTTGGGAAACCCCGGCCCAGCTGGCATTGGAGGTGCCTTCCGTGATCACGGAGGCAACATACTGGCTACTTTCTCCAAGTCTATTGGCCACTCTGATTCCCAGATGACAAAATCTTTGGCCCTTTTGCCGGGCCTCAAATTACTCGACCCAGCTTTGGGTCAACCTCTGATTGTGGAAGGAGATGCCCAAAATGTTATCACATGGGCTTCTGGAAAGTCAGCCCCCCATGGTACCTAGCGTTGATTTATGATGAGATTATTCACATTTGCAGGGATACGGCCGTCTTATGGAGGCATATTTGGAGGGAATCAAACGCCTTGGCGAACCAACTGGCTAAGGAAGGCGCGGATGCTCATGACGTGGATCCTTAAGCGCCCGAGGAATGGATCTTACTTCGGTGTTCCTCACTTCTGTTTTTTGTGGTCTCGACTTTTTGGATCCACAGTTTCCCTTTGTATATATTTTGTAATGGGCACATTTTATAAGCCCCAACTATTTTTTGTATAGGGCCTTTTTGGATTAGCCCTTTTTTTTGACAAGAAGCCCGGACTGTGGGATGTCTCCCTGATACGTTGTAATTCCTCTTTTTATTAATACAACAGTAAACTACTTTCAAAAAAAAAAAATTCATGAATCAAGGGTCTATGGTTAACTATGTTTAACACTAATTGGAAGTAGGGACGAAAGTTGGCCATGTATAAATGTCTTAATTATTCTTCCTAGTGAAGTACAAGTGTCCTGGTCCTATCAGTGGATGTGTCACGTTGATTTCCAGAAGAAAGAATATATTGCCAGTTCTGAATAGTAAATGTGTCTGGTGGCTCCTTGGTGCAAATACGGTGCCTGTTTCTTACACTAGCAAAGCTTGTACTTGCACCTAATGAAGTTCCCCTTGCTTTGGGTAAACAAGGAGGCTTGGCATGTTTGCTAGTGGTCTGAGGCAACACACCAAACTGATCATGGTTGAGCTCAAAAGAAGAAACACAAGGTTGGCTATGGAGAATGGGTTGAGATGGGCACCAAGCAAGGCTTAAGAGGCGACAACACCATGACGATGGTAGAGCTTGAGGGGTCTTGAGGGTGGCAGGGAGGCTAAAGAGAGTGTCTGGAAAAATTTTGGCAGCATGACAATAGCTCAGAAAGTAAGAAACAGGGTGCCCATGACCCTATTTATAGAGTTGAATTAGGGTTTGGTTGGAGTCTAGAATGTTATTCTTAAGGTGGAGCAATGTGGGCCATTGATCATAATGATGTATGGGTGGATTGTCTGGTGGCCCCTAGGTGCAAGTACAATGCCCCTTTCTTACACTTGTAAAGCTCGTACTTGCTGCTAGTGCAGTCTCCCTTGCTTTAGGTAACAAGAGGCTTGGCATGTGCGAGTGTTTGACTTTACACATCAAACTGATCTAGGCTTCTTGTCGTTGCTAGGTAAGCAAGTAAATTAAGACTCAAGTTAATTACAAAACAATGCCACTCTTTTTTCTTTTTGAGGAAAAACAATGGCACTCTTCTCAGTATTAGATAGGAAAGGTCAGATAGCCTCTATTGACCCGATGATCCTAACTACATGCTTCAACCATCAGATATGCTCTTATCCAACGTTCTGCTAAATGTGGAATTAGATGCTGATCTGGAGGCACTCCATATTGAAAAACAAAGTAGGCAACCTTGCATGGGGGCTATGCAAAACAATTCTAATGAACAAGGTCTCCAATTCGATATGTGCACAAAACTCTGGATAATTAAATCAGAGTAATTGTTTGGACCCATGAATTGAAGGCTATAATAGAAAAAGGGGAGCATAGAGCCACATAAATATTCAATTACTCTCTCATAAACCTGGCACATTGGCATTATTTGGATACCCAATCCTCCCAAGGTATATTTGACTTCTACCTACTCAATGGGGGGACACCACTAGAGAATCTTGAGCACTAAGAGAAGTGATTCGTTGAAGGTTAGATAGAAATTTGCTGATTTTAAGCTCTGGATGGTGAGCAGCAGCTTATCTTTTGCTGAATTGAACTTCTCTTTCATCTAAAACATGTAAAACTCTTTACAACTTCAGACTTATATCCAACAAGGGGCAGAAAGAAGAGCTGAATTTCACTTCTATTTAAATGAATGGCGAGACAAGCCACTGTCCCATTTCTAAGTCACCCTTGTCCATCAATAAAAAACAGCAGACCTTAATTGTCCAGTACAATGTTGGATTGCAAGTTTGTGTAGGAGTGTTGTCATGGAGAGTGTATTATGAGCTCATATATAGATGCTAGTCAGCCATTACTATATACACTCAAGGGGGGAAACTGCTCATTTATACAGCTGATATCATTTTTTGTCTTTAAAACTTAGTAAAAGTAAAAGTAAAAGAACAACAGATAGTCAATAAAAAATGAAAACGAAAATCATTAACTTTTTTGGGTAGGTAGTAATTACAAATGAAATAAGTCCTTCAGCACTTTAAGCTTTAGGTGAATGAACTCATAAATAATTGCCATTGAAAATAAACTAAATCATTAACATAGTCACTGCTGGAATAAGCCGCAACTTTATGGATCCCATTTCGCAATATTAATGACAGAGTTGAAGGCATTTCTAACAAAAATATAATAGGCAATTCAGTTATCGAACCAATTATTAACTAAATGTAAATACTTACAAAGTGAATAATTATAAAAAATTATATAAGCTGATCATGTACTGATTTAAGCATTCCCATTTCGCAACATCCTATGGGTTCATAAGTTGTCAACAGAACTTGATATCTTAAAACGAAATGGAGAAATTAAAAAAATAAAATAAAGGACAATGAATGATAGCTATATGAAAACAGTACCTTTGCAGAGTGATGAATATTGTACACAGAAATCATTATATCTTGACCAGCATTAATCTTGTAGTTACCTGGAAGCACATCATCTTCTTGGGCCCTCCTTATCAAAACCTAGAAATGCAAATCCTTACAAAATTTACAATGTATCAACCACAGATACAAGTGCCAACAAAATGTTACTACATATCAACTTGGACTGAATAATTTAGGAACCTACAGGAGGATGTGGATAGAGACGCATCGACTCATTTATGCAACGGGTAACATATTTCAGCTCCTTTGCATCTTCATACCTAGGGAGTCTCCCTTGTAGAACTCTGTCAACCTCTTCCTGTGCTTTGGATAAGGAGGAAGGGTTCTAGAAGTGAAAAAACCACATAAAAATAATACATCAGTAGAGAAATATAATTTACATGTTATTAGAGCAAGCACCAGACCATGGATACTTTGCAGTTCCAAGCAATCATAAGAGAGAGAAATATAATTTACTTGTTATTAGAGCAAGCACCAGACCATGGATCCTTTGCAGTTCCAAGCAATCATAAGAGACTCATATCCAATATCAGCTCAGAGAATCACACAAATAAATCTTGAATGCACATTCAATCTGGAGTAATTCCACCATACAAATATGACCATTGAAGTCTACTCGATATTTTGATCCATGCATCTTGCCATTAGATTTTATATTTTAACAAATTTTAAGCCGCTGACATGCAACCAAAAAAAGAAACGTATCCATACAAATTAATCAGTAAAGGTTAAATATAGTATTGGGTACAAATTAAGGATTTGTACACAGAAGGGTAGACATGATTTTTTTATATTTTATTTATTTTTGGGCATAAACTGCCTTGCTGCCTTTATGGGATTCATTTGTGGGGATCACCGCCCAATGCCATGGTTCCCGTATGGATTACAGCCACCAGCCTTGGAGCAAATGGACCTCATGACTTTAGTATGTGGCCCCCAAAGCTAGGTCAGGGCCAAAGTCTTGCAACCGATTATGAGACACACACATGCGCACATGCATTGGGCGAAATGGGCCTGACCCAAATCAGGCCAGGGTCTGCATTCCGGATTGTAAAATGAAAACCTTGGCTCAGTTGAAATTAAAGTAGAGAAGAAAAGAATTAGGTACGATCTAGAGAGAGTAAGATGAAAAAGATGAAGGGAGAGTGAGAGGCATGTGAAAGAGAGAGAGAGGGAAAGAGAGTGGTGTGGAGGTCTAAAGTGACTTCTACCCCTCTTATTAACATTAAGTAGTAACCTAATTACAACTTATGGACAATACTGCCCTTATTCAGAGAAATGAGACAAATAAAGACTGAAAAAAAGATATAAATGACAGTTCTACCCATCAAATACAATAAAATTTATTCCTCGTATTTCCAACACGCCCCCTCAAGCGGGTGCATAGATATCAATCGTGCCCAGCTTGCTTGTGATATCAGGTAATCTATCCCATCCAACAGCTTTGGTGAAGATATATGCTTGTTGATCTTTAGACTTCCCATGAGGAGACTGAATGATCTTGGTAGCAACCTTCTCTCTGCTGAAGTGGGAATCTACTTCAATGTGTTTAGTCCTTTCATGAAAAACAAGATTTTCTGCCACATGAATGTTGCTTCATTGTCGCAATATAGAGTCATGGAAAGCTCAACTCTAAACCCCAAATTAAAAAGAACACTTATTGATCCACATTACTTCGTCGGCACCATGAGCCATTGCTCTCTATTCTGTTTCAGCTCGTAGGTACCATGAGCCATTGCTCTCTATTATGCTTCAGCACTTGATCTTGCCACCACATTTGGTTTTTTGCTTTTCCAAGTAATCAAATTTCCCAAAACTGATACACACTAGCCAGTTGTGGATCTTCTATCAGTTTGGCAACTAGCCTAATCAACATCTATTAAAACTGCAACACCAGGATGTTAATTAGAGAAAAACGTCCCTTTCCTTGGTATAGACTTAAGATATCTTAATATTCTATACACTGCATTAAGGTGTGGTTCACGTGGTGCATGCATAAAATGGTTGACCACACTAACCGCAACAGAAATGTCTAGTTGGGTGATTATGAGGTATATAAGCTTGTTCATTATTCATTGATACTGATTAAAATCTTTGAGTAACTGACACACCCAAAGTTTTATAATACTAGAATTCTTGAGATGTGACAGTCCATTCTTAAAGAACAAAAACAAATTTGAAAGTTTTACTAAATATTACATCAAAACAAAATTTCCACTTAACGTTCCGATTTGTACAGCGTTTACTTCATACTTATAATTTGCATGAAGATCTATGTGTATATACAATTGTAATAAAACAAAAAATACAAAAGGGAATTCATCCATGACTATAACCTTCTTCCAATTACTTCTGCTGTACATAGGAACCATGCGGCTGCGATTACTCTGAAAATCATTTCAGAATAGTTTGATGAGTTTGACTACTCAGTAAGTGACCATCATTATCCCCACAAATCATGTTTAGAGAGTGTAAATATTTTCCAAAAGAACACATATTAAGCAAAATTTTGATATACTAATCTCATGCATTCTAATATATGCTATTAGACAGATTCACTTCTAATCTTATGCATATTATGTATTCCTTATTAAACAAAGAAAATAAGCATAATACATCGACCATATGCACATGATCATATCAAGATTATATTACTACAATCAAGTATCAGATATGGTCAGACAAGTATTCACAACAACAGAAGTCCTGCAATAGAAGCACTAACTTCGGGTTCGAGGCCTTGGTTTTAAGGTTAGGACTTCTATTATCCCACAAGATGAAGCACCACCATCGGGTAAATCCGTTGTGTAGTACCTCACACACACACACAACTGCAACGCACATTGGGGCTTTTTATAGGCATTGGTCTTGTAAGACACGACCCTCTCATGTGCCCTTCTGGCAAAAGAGCGTTACAATAACAAAGGGGTCCCAATGAGTAGTGCCTCACATAAGTTTTGGGGGTGCGACCTCCCAAACACAATCCAATCCTAACTCTCATCCTATCATAGAGAGTAAGGATAAATCATGACTGCCGGCATAAGTATCTCATCATATCATAATAGAGGCATGTCTCCATGCGCTAGCATGTCAACATGCACACCTATCTTATTAGAAGCATGTTGCTATGTACGCGTATCTTATCAAAAGCATGTTGCCATGCACACATATCTTATTAAAAGCATGTTGCCATGCACACATATCTTATTAGAAGCATGTTGCCATGCACACATATCTTATTAGAAGCGTACTGCCATGCACACATATCTTATCAAACACATGTCTCATATGTAATTACAAGGAACCTCAACATTTCTATGCTATACATAGAGTCATGAGGGGGCATCACTATGTCACACTATCATGCATATCAATTCAAAAGACCTTATTATGTCAATTGCAGGCTATATATCAATGTAGTAGATGTCAGACAACAATGCTTTTCCATAAAATAATTTAAAGTAATTACTTGCACATAACACTTGTACATAACCCGTGCTTATAACACGTATAATAATTGCATATATATTACATTTTCAATATCTAAGATTTATGCTATAGATTTTATAGTTATATATGGAGGTATGTAAAACTTATAGTTTCAGAAATATTATGATTAAATGCAGAATTATTTCTAGGAATACTCTAGGAATATAAGTTTTCTTTAAATAATCATTACAGGAAAAATGAAGCCACTTACCTATGGGTCACTTTGAGATGAATATGCTATTATCGTTCCCAGAGTAGAACCGGAATCAAAGGTGTTTAAGTAGAGAGGGAACTTGTTGATGGCTTAATTTATGGGCTGATGGGGTATTTATAAGTGTGGGACTCAACCTATACTCGACACATGGCATCCATGTGTCATTTTTAAGGGCCACTCATACTGGTGATTGCCACCTTGTGACATCTTGAGACACCTCATACTAGCAATTGCCACCTTGTGGCATCTTGAGACACCTCATACTGGTGATTGCCACCTCGTGCCATCTTGAGACACCTCATACTGGCGATTGCCACCTCGTAGCATCTCGAGACACCTCATACTGGTGATTGCCACTTCATGGCATCTCGAGATACCTCATACTGGTGATTGCCACCTCGTGACATGTTGGGACACCTCATATTGGTTTCCTTACCTTATAAATCTTTTGACGCAAAAATTTGTAAACTAGAATGATGGTCCCATGACGTGTTATAACACAATGGACCATCATTTAAAGTCATTCATGTATATAAATTTTTATTTATTTATTTAAATATTATATATGTATATATTTTTTTTCGAGTCATCACATTTTTCCCCCCTTAAAGAAATTTAGTCGTCTAAATTTTCGTACCTGATTGCTGAAAAAGATGGGGGTATTTTTCCTGGATCTCATCTTCCCGTTCCCAGGTCGATTCCTTTTTTGAATGATACTGCCACAACACACGGACTAGAGGAATCTCCCTTTTACGTAATACCCGCACCCTCCTATCTAGTATTTGAACTTTTCGCTCAATGAAGGTCAGGTCTTCCCTGATCGATATAGGCTCATATTTCAAGACATGGGATGAGTCAGGCTGATACTTTCGTAATAAAGATAATGGAAGAATTATGGATGTTAGCCAGCTCGGGCGGCAAGGCAAGTCTATATACACGCTTCCAATCCTCTACAGGACCTCAAAGGGTCCGATATAGCGCGGGCTCAGGTTTCCTGTCTTGCCGAACCCCATGATGCCTTTTGTTGGTGACACTTTTAGAAAAGGTCCCTCCTTCGGTTATCGGCGTAACTCTTTTGTCGACTCTGAGCAGTCCTGAGCCTTTCTCGGATCAATGTTATCTTATCTGAAGTTATTTGGATGATTTTTGGCCCTAAAAGCCTTCTTTCGCCAACCTCGTCCCAACAAATGGGTGACTTGTATTTCCTTCCATACAGGGCTTCGTATGGTGCCATTTGAATACTGGCTTGAAAGCTATTATTATAGGCAAACTCAATCAGGGGTAAATGGTCATCCCAGCTTCCTATAAAGTCAGTGACACAAGCCCTTAGCATATCTTCCAAGGTCTGGATAGTCCTCTTTGATTGCCCATTAGTCTGAGGGTCAAAGGCAGTGCTAAAGGTGAGTCTTGTTCCCAAAGCTGACTGCAGACTAGCCCAAAATCTAGAAGTAAATCGAGTGTCCCTGTCGGACACATTACTGACCAGAACTCCATGTAACCTTACTATTTCCTTGATGTACAACTGGGCAAGTTGGTCCAAAATATAAGTCGTGCGAATCGGCAAGAAGTGGGTAGCTCTGGTCAGCCGGTCCACAATGACCAAGTATCAAGGAAAGGTCATA